ATATCATTTTTTTTTAATTTACATATTAATTTTAATTTTTATTAAAAAATTATAGTCTAAATTTTAAAAATGTCACTCTTCAATGAATGAAAACTTATATTTTTTAATATACATTTAATAATTTTAAATTTTATATAATTATTAAAATTAATTAAATATATTCAACTATATATTCAACTAATTTAAATTAGTAAGATATATAAAACAAGTCAATAAACCAGAAAAAGCTTGCTGCTACGAACCAGTCAATAACGAGTCTTCGGCCCTGACTCCCCTTGCCGCCTTATATATAACACAACTGTGTCTCAGTTTATTTAAAAAACAAAAACATAAGATTCAGGGCAAAAAATTATGCAGATGAAATTGTTGTTGTGGATGGTGGTGATGATGGTCATATTGCCATCTTCTACCGTTACAGCAAGTTCAAATATTTCTCTAGAAAACTGCCCACAAAAATGTGGAAACGTTAGCGTTCCTTTCCCTTTTGGATTTGGCCGTCCTGAATGCGCGAAAAACTCAACCTTCCTGCTTGAATGCGACCAGAGCAGCAGCCTCTTGTACGGCAACACTCCAATTAACAACATATCATTGGAAGACGGCACCATCACCGGACTAATTTACTCTGCCTACGAGTGCTACGACGAGAACGGTCGTTTATCGACAAAGAGATTGGGGAACGTCATATTCAAAGGATGGTCTTTCATCATATCCCCCACCCACAACACGTTTGTTGGCTTGGGCTGCGACACGATGGCCATGATGACCGACAGAGAAGGAAGGCTTGGAAGTGGGTGCAACACCTTCTGCTATGACCGTACCGACATTAGGAACGACGATTCTTGCACCGGTTTCGGATGCTGCCAGACCTCCATCCCCAAGCACCTCAACCAATTGAACATTACGGTTACCAGTGCTTATAATCACGAAAAAGTTTTGGATTTCAACCCCTGCAGTTATGCTTTTGTGCTTGCAAATTCCTTCAACAAATCGAAAATTAATTTCCTTGGTTACCTAGAAGCTGCCCTAATGTGGCCTGTGGTGTTTGAATGGGTGATCGGAGATCACCAAGGCTGCCAAGATTA